GAAACAAGAAATATCAGTTTTACCATAGTGATGTTAGTAAGAAAAGTCACTGACATGAAACCCACCTGAGAAATTCTCTTGGAACTCAGGGCCAGGAAAAACTTATCTTCCTCTGAGAAATTTGTATGTTTTCTTACCAACAAAGAGAATATCGTTGAATGTACCTGATTGTGTTCCCTTTTCCCATTTCCCTCTGGTTGCCAAGAAGCTCAGAGCCAAATTTTTGGCTCGACATTAATAACTTCGTAGGACCCTGTGGCCTACATATCTGCATTCTTAGTTTCCTACTGGTCTTGACCTTCTATTCTGCTGTGTTTTCCTTGTTCCTGATTTTTAAATTTATATTTTTTAATTTTATTGCTTGTTTTTCTTATAAGCTTCCTCAGACCCTTTGTGGAACAAAATGGTGTAAGTTAAAAAAATGGCTTCAGCTTATTAATAGAATATACCAAAAACAATCCTTAATCACCAATGTAGTGGTCTGGGAATTAGAACTTCAAATTTATTTCTTGGGTTCTCCCCTTAGTCGTTATGTCTCACAGTTTGGTGAAGGGATGTTTTTGCAATTATGAGAACTGAAGGCCTACACATTTTACCAGTCTAAAGGAAAAAAGAATGTCACTTTACCAAAAGTCCCTATGATATGCCATATAAATGGAGACAGTTCACAAAGAAGTTTAACAGGTAGGTGATAGACTGGGAAAAGATGTTTGCAATGTTTGAAAAGCAAAAGCAAATTAATGTAAAGAATGTATAGTGACCTCCTGAAACTCAAGAAGAAAAGATAACTAACTAGACAAATGATTGAAAGATATAAATAGGTTATTTTCAGGTGCCGAAATTTATCAGTTATCAGAGAACAGCAAATTTAAAGAAGTTATCACTCCATACTCATCTAATTGGCAAAAAAATTTCCACTTTATTTTTTTACTCACCACTATACTAACAAGGACAATCAGCAAAAATTAAAAGGTGGACAGTAGCAAGTATTGGCAGTATGTGGGTGATGGGGGTCCCCATGCACTGTTGGTGAGTGTCTGGACTGGTAGAGCTATTATGGAAAACAGTCTTTCAGTATTTAAACTACATAAATGCATTATGACTTCTCCGAGGCATATCTTCCAGATATATTCTTCCCTAAGTTCAGTAGAAGATACACACAAAAAAGTTCATCACAGTCTTATTTGTGGTAGCAGGGTATTTTAGGCATTCTTGTGTCCATCACAAGAGGAAAGGGTAAATAAAATGTAGTGAATGTATGTTTTACAGTAGTTAGATGCAAGATAGTTTTACAGTTACATCTTACGAATTTAAAAAAGTGTTCAGTGAAAAAGATATGTAAGAGTGATATATTTATCAAAATACTATTTACATAAATTTAAAACAGCCGTAAAGAAAATAACAGCACGTGTTTAAAAGGATTCAGACAAATTAAGTCAATGTATCAAACTCATACCTATGTACAGAGTGGAGAAGAGTAGAAGGGACCGATGATCATTCACCATGAACTCAACTATTTGTACTGACATGAGAAAAAGAAGTGTGTGTCATCCTGATAGGAAGTGGCACTGTAGTGTTGCCTTTATATGTCCTCAGGCATCCAAGTCTCATATGAGAAGTCACTGGTGGTGGCTGCACAGAATAGAAGGGTGGATTCAGACTCACTTGGATTTGATCTCAGCAACAACTTTGAATTTACCAGCATTTTGCAGGAGCTTGAAAGTGAGAACTTTGTAAAATTCTCTATCTCAGGCCGGGCATGGTGGCTCACGCCTTTAATTCCAGCACTTTGGTAGGCTGAGGCGGTCAGATCACCTGAGGTCAGGAGTTTGAGACCAGTATGGCCAACAAGGTGAAACCTTATCTCATCTAAAAATACAAAAATTAGCTGGGCATGGTGGCAGGCACCTGTAATCCCAGTTACTCTGGAGGCTGAGGCAGGAGAATCGCTTGAACCCAGGAGGTGGAAGTTGCAGTGGGCCAAGATTGTGTCACGGCACTCCAGCCTGGGTGACAAGAGTGAAACTCCATCTCTAAATAAATATAAATAAAAATCTCTATCTCAGTTCAGGAAGTATCTCTGACTTCATTTATTCATTCAGAGCATAGCATGGTGGCTGAGAACATGACTCTGGAGATGACTCCTGGCTCTGCCATTACTTACCATGTGACCCTGGGCAAATTACTTCACCTGGCATGTCTTAGTTTTGATTGGTTTTGAAAGACAGGGATAACAGGTTTTTTTTTTTTTTTGGTACCAAATTTCTTTATTTGAAGGAATGGTACAAAGAACTTAAGTGGATGTTTTGGTACAACTTATAGAAAAGGTAAAGGAAACCCCAACATGCATGCACTGCCTTGGTGACCAGGGAAGTCACCCTGTGGCTATGGGGAAATTAGCCTAAGGCTTAGCTTTCATTATCACTGTCTCCCAGGGTGTGCTTGTCAAAGAGATATTCTGCAAGCCAGTTTGGGGTGCTCCTATCTTGTGCAAGTTGGTCACGTGGTCACCCAATTCTTTGATGGATTTCACCTGCTCATACAGGTAATGTCTCAATGAAGTCACACAAATGGGGGTCATTTTTGTCAGGGGCCAGTTTGTGCAGCTCCAGTAGTGACTGATTTGCATTTTTTCCCAAATGCAATGCACACTCCGTCGCATTCAGCTCGCTCTCCCAGTCATCATGATCTGGTTTCTTGACATCCTGAAGGAAGACGCGGCCACCTCGTTGGTTCTGCAGCTTCATCAGTTTCTTGGCATGCTCCCTCTCCTTATGAGACTGGTGAAGAAAGTACCTGGCAAAGTTCTTCAAAGCCACATCATCGCGGTCAAAGTAGTAAGACATGGACGGGTAAACGTAGGAGGCGCAGAGCTCGAGGTTGAGCTGGCGGTTGATGGCGGCCTCTGAGTCCTGGTGGTAGTTGTGGCGCACCGGCGAGGGGGTCCTCAAGGCGGCGGCGGCGGGGGCTCTGGGACGGTCGGAGGGCGCGGTGTGGAGGTGGCGGGGGCTCTGGGGCGGTCGGAGGGCGCGGTGCGGAGGTGGCGGGGGCTCGGGGGCGGTCGGAGGGCGCGGTGTGGAGATGACGGAGGACTGGTTGTGGGCGGCCAGCCGGGGCGGGGGAACAAGCGCCGGGTTCCTTCCAAGCATTGTTGAAGCAGGAACCGTGGGGACTCTCGGCGAAGAACGTCTCAGTGGTTTTTATTTCATAGGGTTGTTGTGAGGATTAAGCAAGTTAATATTCTGAAGCACTTAGGATGGTTCTTGGTACACAGTAAACATTGTATAAGTATTTGTCAAATAAATAAAGTCATTTAACAAATACCTGAGTACTCAACATGGGCAAGGACCATGCTAGATTCTGGGAGTACATCTCAGAAAAGATGATCTTTGTTTGTTTTTCATTTTTTGAGACAGGGTCTTTCTCTGTCACCAAGGTTGGAGTGCAGTGATGTGACCATGGCTCACTGCAGCCTGAGCCTCCTGGGCTCAAGCAGTCCTCCTGCCTTGGTCTCCATAAGTGGTGGGATTACAGGCATGAGCCACTGTCCCTTGACAGAAAAGAGACTCTTTTACTATGTCTCTTGTCCTGCCCTGCCTAGGTTCCAGGGTCTTAGTCCTTGCTTCATTGCTTGTGCCCAAGCTCCATCTATTGCTATATCTGTGCCTTTTTTTTCCTTCTGTGTTTGTGTGTCTTTTGATTCTCTGACGTATATCCTCATTACTGAAGGACTGGGACCTGGAGAAATGCATTGACGTTTGAGGTTCCATTCCAGGCTGCTAGATCTTCCTAAGGCTACAAGCAAACCTGGATGTCTGCTCCTGCCAGGCTCCTGGCTCCTCTCAGATTCCACCTGGTGGTTTCACTCACCCCTTCCTCTTTATTGTTGGGTGGCTGCCAGAACACCTCAGCAGGTCTCTTCAGCAGACCTTGTCTTTGCTAGTCTTTTCCACTATGGTAAATGGCTCTCTCCAGAGGTTCAAGTCAGAATCCTAGGAGTTATCCTTGGTTCCTCTTTTCTCCTCCCACTGAATTGAATCCATCAGCAAGTCCTGTTAATTCTACCTTTAAAACATCTCTTGAGGCCCGGCGCGGTGGCTCTCGCCTGTAATCCCAGCACTTTGGGAGGCCGAGGCGGGTGGATCACGAGGTCAAGAGATCGAGACCATCCTGGTCAACTTGGTGAAACCCCGTCTCTACTAAAAATACAAAAATCAGCTGGGCGTGGTGGCGCTTGCCTGTAATCCCAGCTACTCAGGAGGCTGAGGCAGGAGAATTGCCTGAACCCAGGAGGCGGAGGTTGCGGTGAGCCGAGATCACGCCATTGTACTCCAGCCTGGGTAACAAGAGCGAAACTCCGTCTCAAAAAAAAAAAAACAAAAACAAAAAAACAAAAAACCCATATCTCTTGAATCTCACAGGCTCTGTTGATCCTTGCTGTCATCACCCAAGTCCAGCTTCCCACCGTCTTTAACTTCCAGACTAGTCTGCCTGCTTTCACTTTTGCCCACTGCATTCTATTTGCCACATAGCAACCAGGGGGGGTCTTTAAAATATGCAAATTAGATTACATTTGAACTCTGCTCAAACCCTTCAGTGACCTCCTATTGCACTTAGAATTAGTGCTAATAAACCAATGATTTAATTTATAAGAGCAAGTTTTAACATCAGTGTTTCCTAACCCTTGGGTCAATCCCAGAGCCTTTTTGCTATGAAATTTTCAAAATTAAAAAGCACAATTGCAACACTTAATTGTTTAATTTTCTTCTGTGTTATTAGATGTTTTGCTGCTAAAATTAGTTGGCGTTAGGTGGGGGAGGACTGGGACATAACTGCCAGCAGCTGCAGCTCATAGAAGCTGGTTCTCTCGTCTTCAAGAAGGCAGATTGCTCCCTAAACTGCTGAGCCTTCTGTGTCGGGGGGAAAGCTTGCATTCTTTCTTCCTTAGGATTATGGCCTTGAGAAGGTGTCTTCTAGTTCTCAGCAGGACCAGGCTCGAGGACCAGCCTTGGGTCAAAAACACAGGATGTGGGTGAGCATGCAGTGAAGCACTGGGCAGTCGGGACTGAGTCACCAGACAGTCCCTGAGCCATAGATGGCTGCTGCTGGGGAGGAAGCTGATGGAGGTTCAATGGAGGTAAATGTGCCAGGCTAGAGTCAAGTGCCTTCGTCAAGAGAGGGGAGTGAAGGACTGCAGTAGAAACCACAGGAACAGACATGGAGAAGGTAAGGCCATTGCAACCTGAGAGGAGAACAGTGGAGTTTTTCAATGCCTGGCAGGACTCAGTGGAACTTCCTCCCCAACTCACAGATTAGCTTCTTTTTTACTGATTCAGTTTCCTTTCTTGATAAGCCCAGTCTCCATGAAGACTTTGTCAGAATTTAATGCTCTCTTTAAACCAGTGGGTCTCAGTCTCATTAGAATCATGTGGGAAGCTTTGTTTAAAAACAAAAAAATAAGATTCCTGGGTTCTACTCACCTGGATCAATAGAATCAGAATCTCTAGGGAGGTTGAGGTGGCATAGGGTTGGTGGGGTTGGGCCCAGGCATATGTGATTTTTTTTTAGAGGTTCACCATGTGATTCTGATGTCCAGTGAGGTTCAAGAACCACTGCCTCCAGCACTCTTACTTTGAGTAAACAGGATGAGATTTAAAATTTTAGAATGTTGCAGCTAGATAATACTTTGTGGCGGTGTTTCTCAAACTTTCACTTGGGTGAATAACCGGGGGAATCCTGCTAAAAAGCAGATTCTGGTTTAGGTGGTTGGAAGTGGGGCCTAAGCTGTGACATTTCTCACTCATGTCCGTGTGACATGGGAGCTGCTGGAGTGAGGACCACTTTGATTGCAGTGGAGCTTGAGATGGAATACAGATGGCATGCTGCCTCTGCGCCAGACCTGGGCTGAGTGCTGTGCAGTCATTGCTTTCTCACAAGCCTGTGACAGAGGTGCTGTTTATAATTCCATTTTACAGATGAGTAAACTAAGGCCTAGATAAGTTAAGCATCTTGCTGAGGATGATAATGCTGGTAAGTAATAGAGGCAGAATCTGGATCTAGATGATCTGATTCCAGAAATTGTGAGCTGAACCACAATATAATACTGCTTCAAAGTCAGAATTGGGATCAGGGGAGGGCCTGCAGTTGGAAAGGGTATTCAAGGACTTGCATTGAAGCTGTTTGTGTAACAATTACATTATTTTTAAAAGGTTGTGTTTTCATTCGAGATAGCTGCTGGAAGAGGGGAATAAAAACAGGTGTTAAAGAGGAGCTAAAGCTCTCTAAGCCACTCCTTGGCCTCTCCCTGTAGGCCATTCCTTCATGTTGCTGGGCGGGAACAGGAGTTCATTGCAAGGTGTATATTGCAATTCAATGGCAATATATTTCAGGTGTTGCTGTGTATCTCCTAGATAGCCAGCTGGCTTTTGACCTTGTGATGACTTTGTTGTCAGAACTGAGACCCCTCGGATCATCGTGACCTGGCTCTTGCCTGCCTTTCCCCCTCCTCTTCCACGGCTGCCTCCCTGACTTACCTGATGGGAGGCTCAAGACACATTAACTGCTTTCAGTTCCCTGACGGTATCACAGTTTTATACTCCATGAATGTTATCTTCTCTCTTGGATGTCTTTGTTATCCTTTTCTTGACATGTTACATGCTATGTTGTTCAAGATCCTGGACAATGTAGCTCTTCCAGAAAGAATTTTCTAAGCCTCCCAACCTGGATTAAGTAATTCCCCCTCCTTTGGTCTGTCATGGTCTCCTGTTTCTTTTAATTAGAGCACTGAAGTAATTTACTTTTCTATTTAATCAGACGGTGAACCTCTCTAGGGCTGTGCTTTCTTTATCTTTACATCCCAGGGCTTAGTATAATATCCAGCACATGGTGAGAAGGCTGACAAGTACGTGTATTGAATGAATGAATTAGCCTTCTATTCCCAGTCCAGTGTTCTTTCCATTTTTAATTTATTTTTTAATTATACTGGGGTACATGTGCAGAACATGCAGTTTGTTACATAGGTATATACATGCCATGGTGGTTTGCTGCATCCATCCCCTGTCATCTACATTAGGTATTTCTCGTAATGCTACCTTTAAAGACTTTCAACAAATGACTCACCTTTCTCTTACTTTATAGTATAGTATGCTAATTGGCAGTCATCTTAGCAGTGTTAAAATATGGCAACAATAGCACGAAGTTAATTGTAAAGGAAGGGAGTTGGTTCTTTGTGACTCTTGATCATGCTAGGTATGAGCAGACTTTTAAATACATCTGTTTATTTATTCTCCATGCAAACTATTAGTAGTTATCTTCTCTCAGACAAAGTGGTACACATTGGAGGAATAAGGGTGAGTAATATAAGACTCCCTCCCAGAAGTTCACTATCTTGAATATGAATATTTAACCGTGCATCATGTTATGCACAATGGAGGTCCACTCCAATGAGCATAGGAGGGAAGACATGACAGGGAAGGATTCACAGGAAGCTCAGCTACACGCACATAATATACAGCAGTGGTGTCAGAGGGCCCAGATGACATTTAAGATGGCACTGAAAGGACAGATCCAGGCACATGAGGCTATGATATTTGTGTGTGTGCGCGCACGTGCGCACGCACGTTTTTGAGACAGGGTCTCACTCTGTCACCCAGGGTGGAGTGCAGTGGCACGATCTTGGCTCATTGCAACCTTGACCTCCCCAGACTCAGATGATCCACCCACCTCAGCCTCCTGCGTAGCTGGGGCTACAGGCGCCACACCACACCTAGCTAATTTTTGATCTTCTGTAGAAACAGAGTTTCAACATGTTGCCCAGGCTGGTCTCAAACTCCTGGGCTCAAGTGATCCTCTTGCTTTAGCCTCCCAAAGTGCTGGGATTATAGGCATGAACCACCATGCCTGGCCTGATGTGTTTGTATATGATTAAATCTATGGCACAAGATTTAATGTGTCATTACAAACAATATTATAAATGCTGTAATCTCAGTGTTTTGGGAGGCTGAGATGGGAGGCTCAGCATTTTGGGAGGCTGAGGTAGGAGGCTTAGCACTTGAGTCCAGGAGTTTGAGATCAGCCTGGACATCATAGCAAGACTCTGCTTCCACCATTAAATAAATAAATAAATAAATAAATAAATAAATGAAATAAA